ACGGGGCCTGTAGGACCCGTCGGCAAGCTTCCCCCCACCACCACCCCACTACAGGCCGGCAAATGGGGCCTGCAGGCCCTGTCCGCTGGCTTCCCCCCCCCACTCCAGCCCGGCAAACGGTCCGCCAGCTTCCACCCCCCAACTCATGGCCCACCCACACATCCTACCTTTCTAGGGCCCGTTGTCTTCCTCCTCAACGGGCTTTACGGCTAGTTTATTTATAAAACAGAACTACTTAAAAAAACCAAAGTCTAAGATCAAAGATTTTAGCATGAATATTACAAGTAAAGCATTTAAACTCTTGTAATATTCATGCTAAAATCTTTGATCTTAGACTTTGGTTTTTTTAAGTAGTTGTGCCACAGCAAGTGCTCATGCCTCAGAACCAGTTTCGAACATGGAAGCTCATTGCTTGTAGTTCTGGAAGATCTGCATGAGTAATAGACAGAATTGTCTGATTGCATATAAACTGCTGGTTTTTTAATAATGAAATTTATTAGGTTATAAAGACTAAAATAGATACAAACTTGTACCATAATACGATGATTGACTACTATCATACACAAGACACAATCGTCTTACATAAACAGTCATCTTTCATCTTCTACAGCGATATCATCTATACTATATAAGTCACACATACATAAAACATAAGCTATATACATTAAACATAAACATGACCTATAATAATCTATTTGTTACAACTGTCAATCAGGGCTTACTTGCTTATAACTTGCTTGTATATACTCATAAGTTTACACTTCTATTTAAACTTTGTTCTATCTTTTCCTAATTATTTAATATCTAATAATTCATTTTTATAAACATATTGCTTGACTTTTTCTTTTTTTATCATCTTCTGGTTTAGCAATTTAATCCTGATTGTCAGCTATACAATTGAAAAATACTTTCAATTTTTCTTGGGATTCTGAGATTGGTCTGTTGTGAATATAAGATGTTAATGTTGCCATTGCTGCATATTCAATTAATCTATTCTTCCATTTCTTGAATTCTGGGCATTTTTCTGCCTTCTGTTTTGCTACATATGTTACTCTTGCTGCCGTCATCATATAGTTAAATAATTCACTGTGTATTCTTGTGATACTATTTAGTAGAATATTTAATAGGGTCTATCACAAACTTAAGTTTTAATATATTTTGCATTTCTTCATGTATCTCTATCTAATATTTTCTTGCTTTCTTGCATGTCCATTACATATGATAGAATGTTGTGTCTGTGCTCTGACATATCCAGCATTTCCCATTATATCCTTTAGGAGTTTCTGCTATTTCTTTGGGTGTGATGTCCCATCTAAAAACTTTTTATACCAGTTTCCCCTTAATATTTGAGATTCGGTAAATTTGATTTCTTTAATCCATAAATTTTCCCGTTGGCTCATACAGATATTCTCCCCAAAATTTTTCATCCATTTTATCATACAATATTTTACTTGCTCTGTTTCTGTATCACACTGCAATAGCATTTTATAGATTTTTCGTAATAGATGTTTTAAGTCTCCAGTGATTAATTGTTCAAAAGCTGCTTTCTTTCTTAACTGACAGCCTTCTTTTGCTATTTGTTCTTTGTATCTAGATACCATTTGATGATATAACAGCTGTGAAATATTATTTCCTTTATTAAAAAATTCTTGCTAAGGTTTTATTTATTATTTATTTTATTCAATTTCTAACCTGCTGTCCCTGCACAGCTTTGTATATTTGATTTTTAACCCACTCTCCCTTCCTTGTTTCATCATGTATTCATAAATGATAAGGTCAGTTTTCTTTTTAATACTACTATTGCAGTAGGCATCAATTGGGGATGTCAATGGTGAGATAGAGAGGCTTATTCTATTTTTGCACTAAAACCATATTCTTAACAGTCCATACCTCAGGATATGATTACCATCTTGTCTTTGGATTGTTTTAAATGATTTCTTAATCCATAGATACTTGTGGATTCCTTCTTTGGTATTAATTATTTCCCGTTTGATGCTTCTTCTGTTTGGATTTATAATCCAGTCTGAGATCCAAACCAATGCAGCTGCTTGATGGTACAATTTAATATTTAGTACTGCTAAACGTCCTCTTTCTTTTCATCCTGTAATATTATGAATCTTATCCTTGGCTTCTTCCCATTCCATATAAAATTATTTATCAATTTCTGCCATTTTTTAAAAGCCTTTTAATCTATATCGATTGGTAACATTTGAAACAAAAAAATTCTGCTTCCTTACTACTGATGAATAAACATAGCTAGTTTTCACACAACTGATATGTAAGGACCAGATTTTCAAGGCAGGCTGGAGTTCTACTGCCCCTCCTTATGGCAATCAATTATTATCGGGGGTTAACTGCTCTGACACATGCAGATCTGAGCCCCTAGAAAAATATTCTTGAGAAGATGTGAAGTAAGATACCTTTCTACATTCTAATTTTAAATCCCTTTATTATTCAGTGTTCACATTTTAGTATCTGATCTGCATGTGGGTCTAGGATTAATGTTTAGGTGCTTATACCTTGAATAAAATTTTGTTGGTCTTAAAGGTGCCACTGGACTCAAACTTTGTTCTACAAAAGAAGCCTGTAAGGTGATATTCACAGAACTCTTCCAAATTGATAGAGCTGTAATCCTATATACACTTACATGAAAATAAGTTTCATTGGATTCAGCCAGATTTACTTTTGAATAAACATGTATAATCTTGGACAATAAAATTTGCCTTAATTTCAGTTACGGGGGTCCACTTGGGCAAGTCAGGACTGAAGTTATTCTACTAAAGTTATTCTAAAATATATCACCTTTTTTGTCCCAATCTCTACAATGTTGATGGAGTTCTTTACTTTCTAGCTGTAATTTACTGCCCATACATTGCTTTGGATCCTGCAGATTTTTCTACAGATGGTGCCACTCTCCACCCTGCATGCAAAGACCCCCTTCCTTGCAAGCAGGAGGCTTGAATGGACCTACTCTTTGTTTCCTAACACCTACATTTCTAATTGCCACTTTATTGCTTTCACATAACTTATACTAGCATTAATTGTGGCTCTTTCAAAGGGCAATTATTCCCAAGAGGGTGTGACTGAAGATCCTTCTTCAAAATATAAAAAGGGGCTCTACTGAGACCTGTCTCCTTTGGTATAACTAAGAAATATAGCTTCCACAATGAATGGGAAATAGAATAAATACATGTCCAAATCATACAAAACAGGATACTAAAGTATGTAAAACAGTCAGCCATTTCATACACAGACATAAAGCAGAATAAAAACATACAGGCAGTTTTTTCCCCTACTGGACAGTTTTCTTACAAACAATATGCTGAGCTACAAATTAAGAAATGATCATGTGGTACAACCATGCTAGAACATTATCACTTAAGATAGCAAGTGGGGAAGATACTTTTTTTAATGCTCCCTCATGTCAAATCTCCTTGCACATAGAAAATTTGCACTCCTAGAGGAAAGATTCTACAAAGCTTTCTCCCTAGCATGCTGGTATCCAACTGCATTAGGGAGCATTAAAATATGTGACCAAGCTAGGATGGGCTATAGCAGAGGTGTCAAAGTCATTTGTCACGGGGACCAAATCTGATGTAAATATCACTTTGTCAGGTCAGGCCATGTGTGCCATAAAATGTAACACAAGGTACCAAAGATACAAACTTTATAAAGATTATTTCAGATGCCAAATGGCAATAGCAGGCATAATTGGATTAGGTGTGATATGCAGAGGGGTGGCGATATCAGCATTGGTGTGATATACAGAGGCATGAAGATATCAGCATTATTAATGAGACAGGAAACCTTGGTCTCAATTTGGTACAGGAGGATTCAGTTCAGGAGGATACAAAGAATAAATGGAAATAAGACTGAAGAAATGAGCAGTGACTCACAAAAACACATACCCACCACAATTTTTGTCTCTAAGGGTGCTACTGGACTCTGACTCTTTCTACCACTATTAGAAACCGCAACATTCAAAATCCAGTGGGGGACATTTTAACCTTCCAGGGCATTCAGTTGCTGATCTAAGAGTAGCAGTTCTTTGACAAAGGAATTTCAAAGGGAGATTAGAGAGATTGCTGAATTGCAACTGATCATGAAGCTCAAGGCAATGCAACTCCTGGACTGAATACAGACCTAGGTTTCTTCTCTCATTACCAATGCTTGCTTTTGTTTTTTGGCATCTGAAATCACTTCACTCTCCAAGATATAAGGACAGATGGACTCACATTCCAGCTGTATCTGAGGAAGTGAGCAGTGATTCATGAAAGCTCATGCCCTGCCACAAACTTTGTTACTCATTAAGATGCTGCTGTACTCTTGCTCCCTTTCACTAATAAGGAATGCAAGCTGTGCTGTTAGGTTTCTCACCCCCATTTGTTAGAAATGGAAAGGGGGATCTCTCCAAGTGCCATGGGATGGTCCCCCCATATACCTGGAATAAAACAGTTTTTGGTCTTAAACACAGGACTCTTCCCCTCCATACCTGGAATAAAATGTTTTTGGGTCTAAACACAGGACTCTTCCCCTGCATACCTGGAATAAAATGTTTTTGGGTCTAAACATAGGACTCTTCCCCCCCATACCTGGAATAAAACATTTTTGGGTCTAAACACAGGACTCTTCCCCTTCTCGTGCCTGGAATAAAACGTTTTTGGGTCTAAACGCAGGACTCTTCCCCTTCTCGTGCCTGGAATAAAACGTTTTTGGGTCTAAATGCAGGACTCTTCCCCCAAGTACCTGGAATAAAACATTTTTTGGTCTAAACACAGGACTCTCTCTCTCTTTTTTTCTGGTTGGCCGGCTTGTTTACTCCCTCTCTCTCTCTGAAGAAAAAGTGTGCTTATACCTGGAATAAAGTGCTGATGGAAAAGTCCCACGAGACACCATTTCCCCCCTTCTCTGTGTCTCTCTTCTTTCCACTCCCTCTCCAGAAGAGGAGGGGGAGGGAGGAGGAGCCCTCAGCCAATGGAGGAAAGGCTTGGTGCAGTTTGGAGCCAGTTTGGTGCAGAAGTTAAGTGTGCGGACTCTAATCTGGGAGAACCAGGTTTGATTCCCCACTCCTCCACTTGCACCTGCTGATGTGACCTTGGGTGAGTCACAAGCTCTGGCACAGCTGTTCCTGAAAGAGCAGTTTGTGTCAGAGTTCTCAGCCCCACTCACCTCACAGGGTGTCTGTTGTGGGGAGGGGAAGGGAAAGGAGTTTGTAAGCCGCTCTGAGACTCCAAGTGAAAGGCGGGGTATAAATCCAATCTCTTCTTCTCTCTTCTCTTGAAGCAGGAAATAGGAGAGACTGGGGGAAAGGAGCTGTGATGTTACAAACAGGAACCAGGAACCAGCAGAGAGTCAGCTGCTCTTGGGCTGGATTGCAGCCTGTGGGCCATATCTTTGACACCTCTGGGCTATAGCATGTGCTGTTTCTGTCTACATAGTTTGTTTTCTAGAGCACAGTCATACAGTTCTTTACTTAAGGAAGAGGTGGTTCTCACACATGTCATTCCCCTAGCACATAGTGTCAAGTGCTTCAAATTACATTGATTCCCTCCCCCACTCCGCATCCACACAGCTGTCAGGGACAATGGCAGTCTATGCAAGCTACAAGATGACTTAAGGAGGAAATTTTCAGGGGAAGATAACTGCTTTTCTAGAAATTCTTCCCATGTTCCTAAATATATGCCATAAAACGAAACCAGGAGTGTGGGAAGCTACTTTGTGGATGCACATTAACCCTTATGCTGACTCTCACTTAACCTTATGTACTCGGGGACATATCCCAAATACATATATGTGAACCAGTCAGGTGCCTAGGACACAAAAGGAGTAACTGGGACAATATTAAGACACATACAGAGAGAGTTGCACATAGTTCTAGGATGTGTACCACCCATTACACTTGATCAGGCATGAGTATATTTTGTACTTTAACTTTTAAAAAGTGTATCGAAATTTCTCACAATTGTGCTTAAGGGACTACTCTGCTTCTTTTGGGAAATGATGCCTTATGAAATCAAAACAGATGGACTTCATAAATCCTAAATGGTAATCTTTTAGTAAATTCAGCTACTACAATTCCTGAGCAAAACAAAGCACCTCTCTTTTTGCAAAGATAAATGCCCCTGCACTCTCTAAAAAGCAAATGTTTAAATGCTACCAAGAGGCATATAATACTCTGGATATTTATGGTCATGGTCCATAAACTTCTGTTAGAGAGATCAACAAAGGCTCATAAATGTCAGTTCTGATAAATGGTTCTGACTTACCTGTCCCTGAATATCCTTAGTTCTAGCCACAGAGGCAATATCAGAGCAGAGGTTGAGAACATGCTCTTTTTGGCTTTCTAGGCACTCTAACACTTTCTTCACAATTCTACACAGTGAAAGCTTGTAATGTGGTACATTCAAGCACTGTGCCTGCTCTCAGCCCATAGCCCTGTGATTTTGGATTGCAGCTGCCTGTTCATCAGGGATTTTTCAGCCTGGATGCACTTGCTATCCACTCCCCAGCCAAGCCAAAACCATACAGCAACAATGGAGCCTAGTGGTACCATACAGTACTTTCCCACTAAGGAATGAGTTGGATACTGGTTTGATTCCATCACTTCTAATGGTACTCCCCAGACACATTGGGTGGGACCCTATGAACTGCAAGCAGAGAGCTCTGCTTGTGGAAGAGGGCTTTTCCACCTCTTCCTTCCTGCTGCAGCTGCTGTTGTGGATTGGAAGATGCTCTGAAAGTCGTGGGCTGTGGTACATGGGAGGATGTATGGGAGGATCTGCAGCTGACATCTCCTCTCCCTTGCCTGAGAGGAATTGCAAGAGGGTTTCAGGACCCACCTATTGGAATCCCCCCCACACATCTTAGCCTTAATTGCTCCGAAGAGTCAGACACAATTCACTGATTTTAGAGATAAGGCTGCAGTACAGATTAAGCCCAGTTAACTATTGGGCACTAATAATTATTTTTGCCTATGCCTTTATTATTCTAAGAAATTAATTCTGAGAAAAGCTCTTTAGAATGTCTGAAATACTGTCTTTTTCCCAGAGTTCCTGTAGCAATAATGTGTGTGTAATGGAAGTGCTGGAGTTCTGCCTCAAAGACTGTGTTCCCTGTTGAATTCTCATTAGGTAATGCAGCTATTAGGCAAGATAGAGACTTCAACCTCAGAGCAAAACTCACATTTAAAGACAGTGCAGGGAGATCACCACCATGAATTGCAACTCCTGGATTTCAAGTAGGTGCTGGAAGCTTTTTAATTATATTACTATGTCTATAATGTTGTAGACTGATGGTGGAGCGGGCAGGAGAGACTAAAACAGAACCATTTTCTGGGAATTCTGACAGGCCAGTGAGAACAAGAGCCACAGAGATATCTTAAATATGACAACACTGGTTGCAAAACAAATTGCCAGAGTGAAAAGACATTAACTACTCCTGCCCTCTTGAGAAAGCAAATTATGTTATGCAGAGCTTTTTTTGTAGAAAAAGCCCAGCAGGAACTCATTAGCATAATAGGCCACACCCAACAGCATAAACTCATTAGCATAATAGGCCACACCCCTGACAGCACAGCTCATTAGCACATTAGGCCACACTCCATGCCTTCCCTTAGCTTGCCTGGGCACCTCATGGCTGTAGGGAGCCTGGGCAAGCCCCCCCCCTTGAAGGGAAGGGGAGGCAGTTTAAACTGCCTTCCCTTGGCTTGCCCAGGCACCCCGCAGCTGCAGGGCGCCCGGGCAAGCTGGCCCTTGGACAGGCCAAGGAAGGCATGGGGAGGCATTTAAATGCCTCCCCGATCCTTCCAGGCCCCCCCTGGCCCGCCTGCCTTGGAGTCGCCAGGGGGGTCGCTCTCCAAGCCTTCCCTCTGTAGCCACACACGCAGAGGTTTTGGCTGTAGTGGACGTGGTCAACTCTGAAGCCAGCTGGAACTCTGTTCCTGTGTTCCTGCCCAAAAATAACCCTGATATTATGGCACATTGTGAAACAAATGTAGAGTCCAGTGGCACCTTTATGACCAACAAAGGTTTATTCAAAGTATGAGCTTTCGTGTGCATGCACACTTTTTCAAATACCTTTGTCAGGTTGATGGAGTCATTCCATGCAGCTGAACGTGGTGCCTTCCATGAAGATAGATCCAGGTGGTCAGCTGTGTTGGTCTGAAGCAGTAGAGCAAATTCATAGTCCATTGGCACCTTTAAGACCAACAAAGGTTTATTCAAGGTATGAGTTTTCATGTGCATGCACATAATATAGTGGTTCTTGAGAGTCACAAACATCGGGCATATGATCAAAATGTGGAAAGGGGTATCAATGATTGGCAGACCACAAGGGCAGATTCTGTCAGAATATCTCTTGCTAGCACATTGTGAAACCTTTGACTCCCCCCCCCCCGCAAACTCCCCATAAACATAAGCTCATATCGTTACAATGGCAAAGGTCATGGATCCCCATTAGTCTATAAAAGGTAAACTAAGCTCGTGTGCACTGCAGCTGCAACTCAGATCTGGGCTGCAATTTAACTCAAGGTCAGTTTTATTTATTTACTTTATTTATAGTCCGCCTTTCTCGCTGAGACTCAAGGTGGATTAAACAGTGCAAGAATACAATTGAGTGGAATGGGGCATCCAATTAACAGTGCAATAGGATTTGTATTACAGAAATAGAGCTGAGACAAAGCATAAGCACTTAAACACGTTAAACACTGCAGAAATTACATATTAGGAGCATACTTCAAGTAACAGACAGCACATACTATACACAGTAGCTTAGTCCACAGTCCGTCTTCTTTTACCTTTCGGAACTATTTAATTACAGTACAGCCGTATTACCTGTGTTAAAAAGTCCTTCTGAATAATTCATTTTTGAAGAGTTTGTGGAAAGCCAGGATAGTGGGAGCCTTCCTTACTTTCTCAGGCAGGGTATTCCATAATGTGGGGACGACAGAGAATGCATGTGTACAGGAAAATAGTTGATCTTGCCCATTTGGAGTATGACACCTGCAGAACGCACTATTCAGATGAGCAAAGTGGCCATGGCAGAGCATAAGGAAAGAGGCAGTCCCACAGCTATGAGGGACCAAGGGCATGAAGGGTTTCATATATGATAGGCAATACCTTGCATTGAACTGATGGACAGCCAACAGAGTGACTGCAAAATGGGAGTGATATGCATGCTCTGCCTAGCTCCTGATAATAACTGATTTCTGCACCATCTGGAGTCTCCAAGTTTTTGAAGGGAGACCTAAGTAGAGTGCACTGCAATAGTTTAGTCTTGATGTTACCATTGTGTGGATCCAGGTAGCCAGAGCATCCATATCAAGGTAGGGGGCATCTTATGGGCTAGGCTGAGTTGGAAGAAAGCATTGTTCCCCCCCCTGAAAATTCTGATGATAACGAAGGAAGCCTGGATCCGGTCAGGGAAATAAAGCAGGACTTGAAGGGCTAAATACCTTATTCTTTTCAATGGCCGCCCCAATCCAAATTGTGACTGTGTGCATACGCAGCTGACCATTTACAGATAGAGATCTGTGACAATCATTTCTAGCATGAGTCTACAATAAATAAGAATTAACAAAAACTGTGGAAACAGCAAAATGTCAAAAAGTAACAATGAAATGTAGGAGGAGAGCAGAAAAGGGGAAGAAAGGCAAGAACAGGAATGATATACAGAATGGTGACAGAACTGAAGTCCATTTGAATTCATACTGAAAATGTAATCAGGAACACAAGATAGGTGCTGTCATTGCCTCATAAATTAAAACTAATTATTCATTTCACTTAAAAGGAGAATAGCTGAAGATTTAGTTCCACTTAGTATTCAGAGTCAAAGGGAAATATTTAGCTGCAGAAGTTTATTAACTCTAGAGGGGTAGCCATGCTAGTCTATTGCAACAGAATTAAACAGTATTTTGATAAAGTGAGCTTGGATGCATGACAGGTTAAATTGAAATAAATTTTGTAAGTCTTTAAAGGTGCTACTGAATTTCTGTTGAATCATGAATAGAGGCTTGTTCATGATGAGAACAGTCTAGGAATTTCTTGGACTCATATCCTCCCTTCCCATCCTTCCCCGAGAAATTGAAGATTTCCTAGTTTGCAACTGGGCAAAGTTTGCAACTGGGCAAAGCAGGCAAAACAAATTATAGTTCATTCTCACCGACAAATCACAGTTAGTAATTTCATCTGATCAGGATGTCACAGCAAAGCTGCAGTTCGTTTTGAACAAGAAAGTCTTCAATATTCTGCTGTGCATGAGGAGGAGGAGGAGAAAAGGAATGTGCGAGCCCCAGAACTTTCAAGGAATGCAAACCAACATTTAACAGCATGGTGTTCAGGCCAACCAAACAAAAACAACAACCAACCCACCCTCATACTCAGAACTCAGAGAAATGTAACTCTCACAGAAATGTAACTCTCAATCACTGTTTCAGTTTGCTCATGTTGTAAACATATGTGTACACACACACTCCAATTGTCACATCAGTCTAACATCTCTCTTCCTATTGAGTTGTGCCTCATTTTACTTAATTTGGAACGATGGTTATGTTTCAGAACCTAATTTCCTCCTCAGAGACTGTACTTTGAAGGCCTTCTAGTCCCCACTAGATCTGCGGTTTAATTCTGAAGCAATTCTTGACTTTTATATTTCCATCCACCATACTTCCTTGCATGAAATGGATGTCCTAGCTCTTTCCCCCCACATATTTCCATTTCCACACATTAACTGTGAGCTCTACCAACATAAAAATTTTATGCTGCTAGCCACTCCTCCCTTGAGCATACAGCATACAAGTTTATAATCGCAGACTGAGAACTTTAAACAGCAGCAATGGCAAAGCTAGGAAATGTCTACAGTAAAATCTTGGGCAATCCAGCATGATTCTTTGCACTTGATCAACTGATTCTACAACACACACATTTGATTATCTTGGGAAAATAGTGATATTGAACTACCACTAAATTAGTCAACACAAAGCTAGTTTGACATGCAAGTTAATATTTCAGCCACATCGAGTTGTTTTGTAGCTGCAGAGATCCAGCGAGATCCTTGTTTTAATTGATACAGATGTTATGCTATATTTCTATTTCCTAGGAATAGTTTATTAAGCAATTCTCTTTAAATATTAGGATAAACGGTCTTTTAAATGACCTTAAGAATCAAATTCAAAGCCAACAGAAATGGACAGAAAATGAGGTAAGAAGATTTGAACAAGACCAAACCTACCTCACAAATCAAGTTCTTGGCACAATGAAAGACAGAGTGGTAAGAATACTTCTATCTATTAAGTTCGTTGCAAACAAAGGACTATTGAGCCGCCATGACTTGATAAAATTCAGCCCTTGTGAAAATATTATGCTAGTAACAAGGTAATGGACCAAGAGGAATTCTAGTTAAAATATTCTGAGTTAATACAACCATATAACAATGCTCTTGTAAGCAACAGGGATTGTGTATGGGGGGGGGGAATTCAGGGAATAAAAAATTGGAAAAACTGAAGTGGGAGAAGAGCACAAGGGCAGATGCTAATAGGAAATTAGAATGTGGTCAATTTTTATTTTTAGAGGTTGGTATTCTGGCATCCTTATAGTATGTTGGGCCTTGTGTTCAGCACATTGCTATCAAAAGCAATGACATTTCTATGAAAGGGGGTGTTTCTATTATTAGAATACATTAAGCATGCCTTCCGCTTTGCTGTCACAGACTGAAGTATAACACACAGGCTTTAGTAGGTCTCCCACTGATGGCAGGGTGCCCATTTTTCAAGGAACAACATTCTACATTTCAATTTTGGTTCTTGGCCCAGACAGGCACTTAAATAGAGTGTTTAGTTTCAGGAAATCCCTGTTCCAGGATCAGAGCTTAATGTTTATCTGAATTAAAGTTCTTGCACATTTTTTGAATGCAGTGCGAAAGGGTCATTCCACAACTCAAGTCACAAAATGAGAGAATGTTGTGTACTTTAGCAGATCTGATGGTTTTATACACAAGAGTTTAAAAGCTAAATATTTGCTAGGATAGACTAAACCAGTGACATTTTACAGCCAATTTTAAATGTTATATTTGGTATATTAATCTTTTCACCCCCTCTAATTAATGCAAGGACTGCACCTAGAACCATCACTCTTCTAATATACATAAAATATTTGGAGTGGAAAGAATTTGAGGGGATCAGAGGAGAAATGGAGTCAGAAAAGCAGGAAGAGGAAGTAAACTGCCTGATCTCATGGATTTGCCCCATTGTGCGTTTAAATCCCTTTCCCATCTAGCTGTCTAAGATTGGGAGAAAGGGGTTTCCAGCTGTCTTCTGCACTTTGAAGAAACAGGATTCTTCAAGAAGCAGGGATGAAACTAGAAGGCAGTCCTACTCTGATGAAGAGTAGAGACTTTATTGCACTGTGCCTCTGGGAGCAGATGGGTAGCGAAACCCACTCCAAGTTGTCTTCTTCCACTGAGAAAGTACGCAGTTTCTCATAATCTAAAGGTAGAAAGCACATCTGGACTTCAACTGAAATAAATATATGGAACAAAGGATATTTGTTAACATTGAAGTCTAACATTCTTCAGCGTCTCCACTGTTTAAATTCAGTGAAAAGTTAAGTAAGCAACACTGTGAATGTCTTCAATAAAGAAATTCTACCACTCAATTTCTGTGAATGTAAACAGGAAAGGAACGCATCTTCCCAGGATGCTTCTGTCCAAAGAACATGGTTACTGACACACAAAAACTGATTACATTAACAGCATTTAGAAATGGCAGGGATGTATAGCGGATTGAGTCAACATGGCATTTAAACATTCAAAAGCTGACTGAATTTATGAGACAGAGAATATATATGTTTTGTAACTACAATGTAAAATGTGCTGTTATAAAATTATAAATTAATCAGAATAACACGTTTACTGACATTAATTCAGGTGCAAGAAAAACTAGAAAGTAACCCCCCCCCCCCCCCGTTCTTGAGGTAAACCAGTGTTCAACTCTTAGAAATGTGTGAACAATACTCAGATCAAGCACAGCCCTTCTGAATAACCTTATTCAGTGCTATTCACATGAACATAGGTTTGGATGTTATTTTTCCCTCTAACCTCAATTCCACAGCTACTTTCTTCTTTAGTTACAAAGGGGCACACTTTCCCCTAGCTAGGCTGCAATAGTAGAGAGAAAATAGATCCTGCCTAGTGAAAAGCAATGTGACATATCATGATGATTGTTATAATTGGAACTGCTTTTCATCTTCCTTTCCCCTAAGTTGCATCTGTCTTTAGGAACTGAGTAATCTATTGTCCAGTCCATATGTACCCTCAAATCTATTTTAAAATGGCTTTAGAAAACATCCACAAGTCTTATTTTTATTTTTGAAATATATTGATCTTTTTGGTAAATACATTTTTGGTGCCTTTCTGTAGATTTAGTAAAATTCCTGAACAGTACCAACATAGTGGTATTGGGCGTAAGGCATTTAGCAGAAATACTTAATCACAACGAAGGTGCTGTCCCGTTCTCCCCCCCCCCAAACTGGCATTGGGGAATATTTCACTAAGATTAAATTGTTTACATGCTTTCGAGACACCCCCAGCGACTGATGTATTTTGCAGCACTTTCCCATCACTGTAAATTCAATGGCTCTACAGCTCTTATTCATCTATTACTGTTAACAAGGCTTGTAACTCATAATTTTTTCCCCTGAAGTAAGGCAGGTGGCAGATTTGAAGAAAGCAAGTGCTCTAAAGGGGAAATATGGGGACCAGGGCATGGTGCATTTTCCTTATAGGTCCCTTGACCTATGAGCCACCTCCACACCAACTTTATTGGCTTCCACTGGTGACTTTTCTGTTTTGATTTCATATCCTGAAGTTTTGCAGTACTACTTTATCTCTGCTTTCCAAGGCTCATGATCCATTCCACGTTAGTGGTGTAGGATTGGTATTAAGGCCCAAATTACATGATCCATTGAGCATCCACAACCAACCACAGGGAGCTGACGTGGATAGGGACCACAAGAATGGGGAGAATGAGAGTTTAAAGAGGAAGGTTATGGGAAACAATATAACAAGACACTGATTATTATAAGTCTATCAATTTCTCATAATTCATCTTTTTAAAGGAAGCGGTGGAAAAGAAAATGGAAGAAGGTTTTAATCACTTATCAAAAAGAATAGAAAACTCTGATAAAATGCTGAGATTTGAGACAGACCTGAGTCAGGTGAAAAATGATCAAAATAAACTCCATGCAAGAATTGTTCGATTTGAAAAAATGATGTGGAATGAGCTGGAGGAAATCCAAAGTGAATATAGATCAGGTGAGAGTAATTTGTTTTATGGTAAATCTTTGTGATCTAGTCTTCCCTTCCTCCAAATGTGATTTCACAGTCAAATAAATCCTAATGACTAACAGACCAGGAATAGAGAAGTTCAGATTGTTGTGTGCAATCTTTAAGCTCCTCCTCACTTTGCATAAGATGCTTTGTTGCTAATTTCAACATTGTCTTTGAAGAGAGGCAGTCTGTAAAGCATCTGATTATTCCAACTCTTAATCAATGAAACAGCTATAGATTTAAACTTGTACTGGTTTCTGTTAGTCTCTCTCCAATTTCTACTTGTCAGAAAAAACTTGCTTGTCAGATGTTAAATTTACTAGGACACAAAGATGTATGACCTATTTGTCATAATTGCTCAAATATTTATCCATACAGAGATTACCTAATAATCTTAAAATACAGCGGTAAGGTTTCACACAGTGAGTGTACACACTGGTCAAACTCATGAATTTGTAAAAATGTACACTGGCTGCCCTGAGGATATGTTTGAATGGAGAGCTGTAACAAGAATCCCCCCATTATGGCTGTAATTGAGACATCCGCCACCATGAATTTGCAGACAAGTAGACCAACAGTGGTTTTTCCAAGGAAATGGGAAGACTCAGGAAGGATTTAGGCCTTCTGGAGCATTTGAATCAGGATATTTTTGGCAAGATGATCCACACTGCTATAGTGTCTTCAAGGGGGAAAAAACCTTTCCAAATGTACACCCTTCTCAGAGAGTAATGAAATGAAAAGCATTAAACCCAGAGCACATTTCTTTGATACAGTCCAAGGAAGATGCCATTCTTCCTTCACTAACGCAGACAACCATCAGTAACATGTGAAAGGATCAGATGCTAATACCCTGGACGTGTCTATATTTACGCACCAAATTTAATGCATTCTCAGTTATCGTTATGCCACATTAAAGTATTTCTATGATCCAATCTCTTCTTCTTCTTCTTAATCTCTTCCATTTGTTGTGGCTATACAGAAATATTAATATATTTTAAGGAAGGCATGAATTCCCCAGAAATTACAGCAGTAAAGTTGAAATGGGCGATTTTATAGCATTTCCTAGAACTATAGAAAAATTCAGGTATGCGAAGCACCTTTGTGGCCTGAGAGCTATCATATTCTTATCTTCCTCCTCTTCCAAGTAACTTGGGATGGCATCTATGGTTCTCCCATCTTCTACCTTAGCCTAACAACCTGCAATTTTTGTTAAAGTGAGGGTGTGACTGGCCCAAGGTCATCCAGTCTGAGGGTGTGACTGGCCCAAGCTCATCCAGTGACCTTGGCTGCACGGGGATTTGAACTCTGGTCTCCCCAGTTCTCCTTGGCTGCATGGGGATTTGAACTCTGGTCTCCCCAGTTCTAGTATATATTCTAACCACTACTACGATTGATAAATTCCGTATGCATCAAAGAAAGTGCTGCGTAGTTGAAGGATTGCTGAACAGCCTTTAGAAAGGAAAAGTAGTTCTCTGACCCATGTTGGTTATCCTAATTTAAAGCATGCCTGTTATTTATCAGGATTTCAATCCATTCGGGATTCTCTTGATGCGCTTAAACAAATACAAACAACGAAACTAAAACTAGAAAAGGAGAAGTTCAAGCAAGACATGAAGAACATAAGACGAAAAATAACTGTACTCCAAGAAGACCAATGATTCATTTGGCATCTGCAGTTACTCCAGACTGAAGAATGACTGCAAATGTTGACGCGAACAAAGGCTTTCAAATCCTAGAACCTTGTTTCCGTTGTATCCATAGGCCATTAGTAACATAACAGTGTTGTAATAAACCTTAAGAGATCCAAGTGAAAAATCGCCTTGGATGAAAATCGTCATGCATATAATTTATATTTTGGATAAAATAAAATACACCAATGATTTGTGACTTGTATAAGCAAATTGCTCAGCGTATTTTTTGAAATTTGTTATTAAGCATCTATAGTGTTACAGCTGGCAATTCTCAAACCATGACCCTGTTTGTTGACTGCCTGCAAACTGGAAAACAGGTCATGTAACTTCTTGAAATGCAATCTGATAACCAAGTGGAAAAACCACTACTAAGAGAGAGCAATTTCCTAAGGAAAAACCTGTCAGAATTTATGCAAAACCAGCTTCCGTGACTTCAACAACAACAGTTACAAACTCATACCATCTTATGTATGTAGTGTTCTGGTTACAGATTTGGTTTATTGTTTTAATTTTGGCACAAATTTTCTGTACGGGAAATACAAATAATCAATGGCGTAACAAAATGCTTGAAGTATGAGCTGGATGGTTCCAGAACTGTAGGAAAGGAAAGGATATGTTCCTCAATGCTATTTCTTAAGCAATTCTCTGTGCAGTCACTGTTACACTACAATTTTTTTACATTATAAACTCCTAGGGACAGGTCCTACATGAAGTTAGATTTGGATACTACAAAAGAATAGATTCGGGGAGGGGGGGAAGATGCAAATGAAACTAATTTCTTGGCCTTCATCCAAGTTTTCCGAAACCAGTACTCTCTGAACCATAATGAAACAAAAATGATTCCTGAAATTAATAGAGATGGCACTAGTCATCTGTAGAATTTTTGCTTTCCTGAAGAAGCTAGGGACCTTATTTTGCAAGCATATCACAGAAATATGGTATTTTAAAGCTGACATCCATGCAACTTCTTTAAGATGGAGTTGTTAAGAAGAGTGTACAAGAGAGCTATAGCTCTGTGTCAGAGATAATAGAGTAAAGCAGCAGATACAGAAGTTGACTGCATTCCAGAGACTTCTTTAATATTTCACTGTCACTATAATAATTTAAAGCACTGAGAAAATTACTTATATTCCTCAATCTCAGAAATCTGTAATTTGGGGATTAATTTTACTTCTCTTGAAACATTCAGCCAAGAAAAGTGCTACAGAGTGGTAAGTTCATAGATGACTAATTCTTACTAACCCTTCACAAAGTTCAAATCATCCTGGAGGGAGAGAAACACCTGGAATTTGCTTGAGTTCCTCTGATAAAGCAGCAGCAAGTGGTCTGTACTACATTTTATACCTGCCCCTTCTAGGAGTACCAAAATGATCAGGAAACAAAGGAGAGGAAGTTGGGAAAGAATGATGAGCCAGCACAAGAACAAGGGAAATGGTTTATATCTTTAGGCTATAAAATGCATCTTTCTAAAATCTCATCTCAAATATTCGCCTGAGTCATACAAAAACATCACTTTTAGTTCATTTTTATAGAATGTAGGATTGCCAGTATGCCAGCACAACAAACAGCACATCATTTTAATACATCAAATTTTCTATTGACATTTATAATGAATTTGTCAAGCACAGTTTCTCCTAAGGTACTGATCACTTTTCAGGCACTGACAAAGCCCCAGTGTAGCATCATGAAGTCCTAAGGTTAATGCCATATAAACTAGCAAATATGATATCAGTAAAATATGGCATCATTAAAATGACAAGCAAAGATGCTGATGTTAACCATAAAACCTCACATTCATTAAAGGCCCAGAGCAATTAGATTCTGATGCCTTGGAGGGGGGGGGGGAAGCCACTGAAAAAGGCTTCCTGAGAAAACCACCTTCTGTTTACTTTAATTACTGCTAAAGAAACAGTGCATTACTGTTAAATAATTACTGCTAAAGAATATCCTGCATTATGCAGGATATTAAGGTCACAAAAGCAAACTGAAACTTGATGTTCAGCAATTAGAGCAGCATTTATGCACCAGAAATCAAAACCAACCAACATATGCTTTAATATGAGCATTCACAGCTCTTTCTAGTACTTGAGAACTTAAGAGTGATATCCATGACACAAGCTCAAAGGAGACACTAGAGAAAATTAATTGTTTTTAATTTCCTGTGAATACTGAGATAACAGAATTTGACATATCACCGCAACCTCGGCACAGCAACTAAATTGCAGAAGCGGGGGTAAAATAAAAAATGACCAGTATTAAAGTATTACGGGGGATGCCAGCATACTTACATTTCTAACACCTTGTAATACAACTTCTTTTGCTTGGGAATCTGCAGAAGGCTTAGCCTTTACCTAGCAATAAAATAACACCAGTACACATGGCAAAGGCCGTGTTTCAAAGGCAGAAACATGCTCCACTCTGTACTGTAGCTGAAGCCAAGCAAGCATCTACAGATGCTAACTATTTGCGAAGCTTTGCACAAACAAATTTCAACTGAATTACTTCTCAGCAGTTTAACAGCAGCTTCCTTTTAAAATATGTAGGAAAAGAACTGCTACTTTTTCCAGGAAAAAAGGAACGTTGACTTTAAATAACAACTGCTACTTTGATAGAGGTTGTCATGAATTTCTGTCTGTTCCTGTCCTCAATGAAGCTCATGTTAGGAGGATGTTTTTGCTGACAGTTTCTTCTCTAGTTCCAAAGTTCGAACATCTCCATTAGCTTTGGCATTCCTTATAAGAGCCTGCAGAGAATTGAGAAAGGAAAGGGTCAGTTATTGATAATACTTAAATACATATTAGATGTACAGGAATTAAAATGATTCACATCTATTCCGCTAAAACATAAGCTAAAGACCCAAATTAGAGTGGTCATGTAGCTTACCCCTTTAGTGTGCAAAGGAGATGCACTCTTTGCCAAGGCTTCAGTTCTCCTACACACCTTCTTTTCAGTCTTACCATTTTATTCCCCACACTTGGCACTTGGCAAGGCAGCCAAAGGCCTCACCACTCTCCAGTAGAGAGAAGTAAAACATACAGCAGTTGAGATGGCAGGTAAACATGCCTGGCACTAACAGGTGTGTCGTCATACGTCAGATAACAGAACATTTCCCCCCACTCGCTACCTAAGACATACACTGATACTGTGTGCAACACGTTTCTCCTGGAGAATGGAACAAGACATTTCTGGGAATACATTTTCTTGGGAATATTCTTGCTGTAGAATACTTAGGTTTAAGTAAAACCAAATAACACTTTTCCAGTTAATTTAACAACTTGAAAACTGTTTATTTTTGGCACTTTTACATCCAATCTATCAATAGTTCACATTACAAAGTCATGATAGGACTTTATTTATAGCTAGATACTTATTGCAGTTATATGATTACTTTCTGTAGTAGCAGTTTTACAATGGAGTTTTGCTTTGAAGTACAAAAACTTTCAATTAACAAATATCCAGGGAGGTTGAACTACTCTCCCTCTGGTTTCTATTTCTATTTTACTGTTTGTGTTTATTTATTCCCTTGCATAGAAACAAGCTAGTCTGGCTTAAATGGCAGGACATTATTAACACATGATATAGATTCTAATATACTCTAGAACAGGGGTGTCAAACTCATTTGTTCCAAGGGCCAGATCTGACATAAATGGGACTTTGTGGGGCCAGGCCATGTGTGTTATAAAATGTAATGCCAGGTAGCAGAGATATAAACTTTATAAAAGATACAAACACAAAGATTTTCATTTTACTTAAAATACAAATATATCCTTAAAATTCTTGTGATATTTACCAAATATCTTTGGTAACTGACACCTCCCAAACCTCCCCCCACCAAAGATGCCTGCCTCAAATGGAAAGGTGGGGGAATAGTGGGATTTGGCAATACAATTTTTAAAATAAAACATCATGAAAAAGCACAATGATCACAGCAGAAAATAAAAATATAAACTATATAAATATATAAACGCTTTGAGGCTAGGAACATAAAACGGCTGGGAACTGTAAGCTTCTCCCCTCACCCCCAGGTCTACTCAGAGGGGCAGTGGCTCTCCAGGTTAGAGTACTCGCTCGGGCACTCGTTCTCAGGTCCATTCAGCAGAAACAAGCTGGCTCAAAACATCAGCCCAGTATTTGCAAGGAGACAACTCCATCAATCAACAGCTTCAACTATACAAACACTGGAAAGTGAAACTACTTGAGCTCCACTTCATTGAAATACATTGCAGCACAGACAAAGTTGCAAAGAAAATGAGAAGTGGATTTCCTATTAAGGTCTCTGGGGCCAGATAGACTACTCTGGGACTGGAATGACAGCCACCAGAGTGAAATGAGTCCCTGGGAGTAGCAAAAGTGTTCTGGGATTGGAATGAGGGCCCCCAGAGTGGAATTCCATTCCCTTCAGAATGCTGCTGCTACTACCAGGGGCTGTCATTCCAATCCCAGAACACAGATTCTACTCTGGGGGCTGTCATTCCAGTCCCAGAGTACTGTTTCTATTGCTGGAAACAGTGCCATAGTAATGTATCTGGGTGCAGAGACCTGAATGGAAAAATCCATTCTGTATTTTCTTTGTAACTTTGCAAGCCCAGCACAGCTTCCTGCCAAAGCAGACAAAGACAAGAGGGAGGGAGGTGGGAACTTCAGCAGCCTCCAGCCTCAAAGGGTGAGGACAGGAGGGGGAGGGGGGGAAGAAAAGAGCCGCAGGCCTGATTAAAGCCATGGGCGGGCTGCTTCCGGACCATGGGCCTTAAGTTTGACACCCCTGCTCTAGAAGTACAGTTTAACATGTTTTAACCACTTTTATGCTGAAGAACATATGGTGATATATGTTGTTAAAACACACATCATAAAACACAACTGAAGAAAAACACAAACATCAAAATCAATGGTGTAAGTATACTCCCAATATTAGTAGAAGACTCCTGCACTTCATCTAAGCGAAGCAAGCACTTGAGCATATTAACCTT